GTATGCTATGTGTGCTCAGTAAATGTTAGCATTCTCCCCGACTAAACCAGTTCATTAAAATGAAAATTGATAAACAAGGTTTCAGTTATTTATCTTGCCTTTAATAATATCACTTCAGAGTAATAATTGGTGATAATTATTTTATAGAATATGAAAACAGATTATGTGATGGTGCTTACATGAATTTACATATGTGATAAAATTGTATAAAACTATATACACATATGAGGCTTTGCAGGTGGCTCAGTGGTAAAGAATCTGCTTACTGGAGATGCAGGAAATGTATGTTTGATCCCTGGTTGGGAAAATCCCCTGGAGAAGGAAATGGTAACCCATTACAGTATTCTTGCCAGAAAAATCCTGTGGACAGAGGAGCCTGGTGGGCTACAATCCATAGGGTTACAAAGAGTTGGACATGACTTAGTGACTGAGCAAACACATACCTTTGTATATATATGGATATATATATATACACACACATATGCATGTGAAATCTGAATAAGAGCTATCGATTCAGCTAATGTTAGTATCTTGGTTTTGATGTTGTGCTCTAGTTATGTAAGTTATTACAAGGGAGATCCCAGTACTGTGTATTTTTCCTGTCAATTTATGTTAATTTCAAAATAAAAAGCGGAAAGAAAAAAGAGTTAACAGAAGTCAGTATGCTTATTCCCTTGGTGTTAACACTAACTATCTTCACTTTCCTGTCCTCCTGATACCTCAGCTACACTACTATTAATAACTCTTTCACTAAAGCAAATTCTGCTTTATTCTTAACAAGCGGTTCCTTCCACATCAGAAGCAGTAAATTCAGAGATAGTGGATGTGCTCAATATTTACAGATCAAAGTTCAGGGAACTCATTGTGCCTCTATTATAAACATTCTTTCTTGCTGAATTTAGACTTGAAGATTTCTAACACAGCCCTCCTAAATATGTACTTTAGTTGATTACAATAGGTACACAAAAAGATCATTCTCATCCTTTCACTGTGCTTCAAAATAAACTTGTAAATGTAGATCAGTGGAAGATTCATTCAGAAAGAGTAAACTTGAGAAAATAGCAAAACAAAGCAAAGACAAACATGAAACATTATTGATAGTTATCACTACTTTCCTAAAGTTCATTCTAGAAGTTCAGCACTTTAAAGTTTCCTATAGATCATCATTGCTAGCCATTTTGTATTGGGTAGAGTTGACTCCACCTCAGTATCCAAGTGGATACTGTATCCCAACTGGGCCTCCATGGATTTCAGTCAATCCATACATCTTATCTGTGGGCCAGAGTAGTAATATGCATCTAACTTGCAAGCATGAATGCTTAGTAACTTCAGCTGTGTCTGACTCTTTGCAACCTTATGGGCTCTAGCCCACCAGGCTCCTCTGTCCACGGGGATTCTCTAGGCAAGAATACTGGAGTGGGTTGCCACGCCCTCCTCCAGGGGATCTTCCCAACCCAGGAATCAAAGCCAGGTCTCCCTCATGCAAGCAGATTCTTTACCATCTGAGCCACCAGGGGAGTCTGAGAATCCTGGAGTTGGTAGCCTATCCCTTCTACAGAGAATCTTCCCGACCCAGGAATCAAACTGGGGTCTCCTGCATTGCAGGCAGATTCTTTACCAGCATAGCTACCAGAGAAGCCCAAGCATCTAGTTTAGTTAGTGTCAATAAGATGGGGAGGAATTCTTGGATCACTCTCACAAGGACATGACCAAAATAAACTAGACACCAAAAATTTTATATTATTCTGGTTATACACATTTTAAAAACAAGAAAAACTAAACTGCAGTGTTAGAGGTCAAGGTGGTGGAGATATTTGGAAGGAGAAAGGGGGTAGAAATTAGAAAGTTAAATGAGCAAAAACCTTGAACATCCTGGAAATGTTCTATTTCTTGACTGATGTGGTAGTTACAAAGGTGTTACCTCTAATAAGTAATAAACTTTATGATTTTATTACTTTTCAGTATGAATATCATCTTTTATTTAAAAAAAGATAAGAATAGAAAATATGTTGAAATCTTTTCTGTCTTATTTAGGTTTTGATATGAGGCAGCTCTATTAACTATTTCTCACTTTATAGTAACCACACTTCCACATTTCCAAGTCTATTTATCCTACAAGACTATACTCAAATTTTAATCTTATTATGATTTCTTTCTTCATTTCAATTTTGTTAATTCCTCCTCTGTGAAATATTTGTGTTCCAGAGTGGATTGGGAAGATTCAGGTGCTATCTCATCTGCAGATCATCAGAATTCCCATGTATTTCAGTTAGAAAGTAGATATGAATCAATATTTTCTCAAGGCAGGTATTGCATCACTTTCTTTGATAGCCATTGAGATATTCTACACAATTAAGTTGAACACTTAATCTGATTGTTAGACATTGAATGGAATTTTAAGTAAATTATCTGGTTATTGCTTATACTCTAAAATACTCATTATAGGGACTTCCCTGGTGGTCAAGTGAGTAAGACTCCAAGTTCCAATTCAGGGTGCCTGGGTTTGATACTTGATCAGGGAATTAGATCACATATGCATCATTGAAGATGGAAGACCCCACATACTACAATCCCACAAACTACAACTAAAATCAGTTGCAGCCAAATTAATAGATAAATATTTAAATAAATAAAATACTCATCATAAAACTGAAATAAGGTGACTTAAAAAACTATACAAATAACATAAAAGCTAAGTTTTCAGAAAAAGTATATAAAACTCTTAGGACAACATTATAAAGCAATTGTCCTGCAAATAAAAATTAAAGAAAAAAGCTCTTAGGAAAATTTACAATGAATAAAACTAGATCACTATGAAACATTAAAATAAAGACACCCATATATCTGTGAAAATGAAATGATCATAATCATGACTAAAATGTATGTATTTAATATTTTTACCTGGTGATACGTCAAAAACAGATTAGGTTCATGTTTTGCACTTTAGGTGATTAAAGATAAAAGAGGCAATCATACAGATAAAAAGGCAATCATAATTCTAATGTCTATACAGTCCATGGAATTCTCTAGGCCAGAATACTGGAGTGGGTAGCCTTTCCCTTCTCCAGGGGATCTTCCCAACCCAGGGATCGAACCCAGGTCTCCCACATTGCAGGCAGATTCTTTACCAGTTGAGCCATAGGGAAGCCCATATCTAGCTTTAATATAGGGTAAAATTTCAATCTCGTCCATTGCTGATTCAACAACTTAAGCTGAATTGTAATAATTTTAACTCTTTTCTATTGTCCATTTAAAAATGATATAGTTATTTTCCCATCTCTGAAATAACATATAGAATTATCTTAGAGTCAATAATTTTAAGAGAAAAGATCTTTCTATGGGTACATTCAAAACCTGTACTGACTCTACACTATTGGACTTGGTGCTTTCTCCACAAAGTTTCATTGAATTCAGACATCTTGAGATGAAACTGCTAGTAATTTGAGAAGGAAGTGTTGCCTTAAGCATTTATGTTCTGACAGCTTCTATGATGAATGCAGTTTGATGGTAATTCATACTCTGTAAATGAATAGGCAAAAAAAACAAAGAGAGGAGTCATGTGATTATTCTCTTACCATAATAGAAAATTGTTTCAGAGCATGAGGTTGAATGTTGACTCCGACATCACATATTCAAAATGCAAGGTGCCCAAAGTTGCATTAACAAAAGTAAATATATGAATTTTTGTGTCATGGGGCTGCAGGGACTGGGATTCATTTTATGTAATATCGTAATATTATAATGCTTAAAAATAAACAACATAAATAACAAAAGAACTTGAGAATTTATTTTGTATGTGGATGAACGGTCGATTATATTTCCAGACACTTAACCGTAGATCAAGGTCTCTGTTATTGGCTCTTAATCTGCCTATCTGCCCCCATCTGAAATTCCTACCTTTAAGGTTATGCTTCTGAGGACAAAAATATGTCATTTGAATTATCAGTCTCTTATCTGAATTAGATACACAATAAATGATTATAATAATTAATATATTAGTAAAAATAAAGAGTCCAGTATTAAAAGAAACTTCCTTTTTTTTTTATTTTTTTAAAAGAAACTTTCAATGATAGTATCAATGAAGCACTAAGTGTGTAGGCTTAGACCAGCTGAAGCAGTTGTAGGGTATATTTGTGTGTGTATGTGTGTGTGTGTGTATGTGTTATAGGGCAATCATGGGAAGTCTTCTGATTCTACCTTTTATCTTTGCCTTCCATACCTGGGTTAAAGTGGCAGAGATCAGAAGCACAGAATGAGAGATGAAAAATTCCAACCACTCTGTACTAAAAATAATAAATGAAAATCAACACAACTTATAGACCCAGAGAGATAGGGTTGATTTGAAATACAGGTCATGCGTGCTCTAGAGAAAAACTACCAGGGTTTCAAACGTAAGTAAACTTGGTTTAGTACTTTAGCTTTACTGTACCTGACTTTTCTCATTGGTAAAACAAACATATTTCTTTATCTTTATTATTGAGTCATATCCAGGGATAAAAATAAGCTAATATATCCCTCGTGACTTAATCTATATTTGACACAAAGCAAATAATAAATATTTCTCCTTATTAAAAAAGGAAAATTCAGTGTCAATTTTTTTACACTAAGTAAATTTACCTTTGGTTTGCCCATATATTCCATTTTCCAAGTAATTTTTTTAGATGACTTTGATGTTCAAACATTAGAAAAAATTTTTTCCTCTCACTTTATTTTGTGATAGTCAAAGGGTCTACATTATGCAAGTTCCGTGAGAATTTCCTGTATTGTGGTTCCTGAAGCATTTTAGAAGACAATGATATTACTGTCTCTTTTCATACTACACATCCATGTCTCATCGGCAGAAGAACTGAACACACTTTGATACAGTTTTTCTTATTTTAAAGGATTTCTTCACAACTTTCCGGTTCCTTAGCCTCCAGCTTAGCTTCTAGATCTAATCTCATTTCTTTGAACCAGCATCCATCGTCTCTTACCTTCACTGATATTGGACAACATCTCACATGGCAGGTATGTGCATCCCAAGTCATAACATGAAAAAAATGAAAATAGCTGGGAGAGATATCTCATGAGCATGGCTGATTTCAGGGAATGCTTTAATAAGAAGGATGCAGTTTTAGGCTTCCCATGTTTCAGCACTTTTTACTTCAATTTCACTTTTCTGATTCTTCATTCTGTAACTTAGCAATGACTTTGTGAAGCTTCGTCAACAGATTTAAAGAGTCGATTCTGACAAGGATAGCTCTAAATTCTGATTGGGATCTGAATTTATGAGGAAAAAATGTAAACAATATAATTCTAGCTTGGGCATAAATAGAAAATGTTAAATGTTAACAACTCGATGCTTGAAAGTGCTTTTTTAAATTCACCATTTGTGTTACGACATCCCCGAATCATCCAGATTAACATTTTGACATATTGCACTGTTATTCATGACACCACACTTTGGGGTGCACTCATGTTAATGCAGAATCTCCTGATGCTAGATTATTTTAGGGAAAAGGTCTGTAAGTAAGCAATTTTTGGCATGAGAAAATGTAGTATATGTGAAAAATGGTTCCCATATAAATGAATGTTTATGTCATAAGTTAATGTACTGTGGAAATAAAGCCAAGCTCTCAAGGTACTACCTGTAGGTTGATGGTGGAGCCTCTCACCACAGCAGGTCCACAGTACTCCCATGTCTTCTATTTCTGTTACAGCCTCTACAAAGCTATCAGCAGCTTGACATTTCTTAGAGCAGTGAATATGCTGAGATTAGCAGACAGGCATGCTCCCAAGGGAAGCCTGGCATGCTGCAATCCATGGGGTCTCAAAGAGTCAGACACAACCGAGCGACTGAACTGAACTGAACACACCCGAGTATTGAAATAGTTTCGTGATAATGATAGAATATGTTAAATGAAAGGTTCTGGGTCTAGAAAAGCTTTCATTCAAATTCTGACTTGGATAATTAATAGCTTTGAACCTTGAGAAAAACAGCCTTGTTAATGGACAGTAAGTTTTCTTATCTACCTAATGGGAGTCATACATTCTATCATGATTTTGTTGCTGTTGTTTTTGTGAAAATAAATTCGTTATATCAGCCCATTAAACAGAACTTGGGGCCTGTTGATCTCTTTTTACTACAGATCTCTAAGCTTCTTTGCCAAATTAAAAATTAAAGGTAAATACTGAGATAGAGAGGATGAAGAGGAAAATGTATGGATAATCTCACTGAAGAATAAAGTACATTATATAAAAATGTTGGTAACAAGTGGAGTTCTGAATGGAATATCTTCATTTTCCAGCATTTTTCTGGCAAAATGATTGGGTTATCAAGCTAAAGAACTTTTTGGATCCTTTCACTGGTTTCTGCTTTTAAGAATTCCCATGTTTTTTTCTTTAAATCATTACCCTATCTTTCTTTCTTTACAGGTTTTCAGACCACTCCATGGAGGTTGATTTCTGGAGTTTTAGGAGTAATATGCCTTTTGTTGATGGCAGCTTTGGGAGTTTTGTTGAAAAATTGTAAGTTTTTGTAGTCAAGGCTTTATAAAAAAAATCAAAATTGTGATGAAGCTATCTTACAAGAAAAGTTTCATTTTGCTAACATGTAAAAGATCCTGATGCTGGAAAAGATTGAAGGGAAAAGGAGAAGGGGGTGGCAGAGGATGAGAGGGTTAGATAGCATCACTGACTCAATGGACATGAATTTGAGCAAACTCCCAGACAGAGTGGAGGACAGAGGAGCCTGGTATGCTGTAGTCCATGGGGTCAAAAAGAGTCAGACACGGACTTAGTGTCTGAACAGCAATAATATTTTGTTATTTCGTAAGTGTTTAGCTGACAAAGTAAATTTCTTATCATTTCTTACAGCACTTACTAAACAAAGTGTTCAGCTTGGACCCTCCACAGAACTCAGTGAAGGTTGGTTTCACACTTTGGAAAATTTTTGAGTTGGTAGAGAAGGAAATAAACAGTTTCTTGGTTTTCTCACACAGAAGTTTGATGGAATATTACAGTCATACCAATTGATGTGGCAATTGTAGGATAGTTCATTTCATTGTTCATTTAAGGATGTATTAAACACATGTATTAAATGTATTAATAAGAAATGTATTAAATACATTATATACTATTTATATAATTAAATAATAAGAAAATTATTATATTGAAATGATATATTTTCCAATGTGAGTGATCATGTAAAAATAAACACAAAAATTACAGTAAGTATTATAATTAAAAAAAATAAATTGCAAAGAAAAATGGCAAAAAATAAGTTGCAGTAAATAGTCTAGCTAATTCTAATTACCTGCTTGTGTTTGTTGGTAACCTTTACTTTTATATCTGTTTACCTTTACCTCTGCTTCTTCCATAAGTTAGAAAGTAATATGGAGATTAATGCAATTCTAAACTTTACTTAACCAGTGAAAGTCAGCTCAAAGTCCTAGTTGTTTTTTTTTTTAAATAGAAGATCTTTTATTTGCTCTTCAACCCACTGTACTCTGGTTTCTCACCCTATCACCCAACAAAAGTCCAAGTTTTTAAATGTATTTTTATACTCAGATGCTCTCCAAGTTGTCTTCTGTGTTCATATATCTCTTCACTTGTATGATTTTCTCCCCTGAGCAGTTTTCCAACTTTATTGAGATGCAATTGATAAAAGACATTGTGTAAATTTAATGTGTGGGGCTTCTGCAATGGCTCAGTGGTAAAGAATCCCCCCTACAATGCTGGAGACATGGGTTCGATCCCTGGGTGGGGAAGATGTCCTGGAGAAGGAAATGGCAACCCATTCCAGTATTCTTGCCTGGGAAATCCAGTGGTCAGAGGAACCTGGCGGGCTACAGTCCATGAGGTCACAAAACAGTCAGACACAACTTAGCAACAAGTTTTGTGTACCATGTGCTGATTTGGTACACTTATTATTGCAGTATTATTATCCCAAAGCACTCACTAACATCACCATTATGTCACACAACTATCATTCTATTCATGGTGAGAACATTCAAGAACAACTCCTGTGGCAACTTACAAGTAAGTAATATGGTATTGTTAACCTTTGTTACAATGGTGCACAGTAGATTCCCAGAACTCATTCATTTTCTAACTGGAGAAGTGTATACCTATTTTTTTTTTTGGTATTGACCACAAAATGTGGCTTGTGGGATCACAGTTTCTTGACCAGGGATTGAACCAGAGTCCGGGCAGTGAAAGTTTGGAATCTTAACCACTGGATTACCAAGGAATTCCCATGAACGCTTCAACAAACCCATTTACCCCACATCCCATCCCCTGGTAATCACCGTTCTATTCTAAAATTTCAGCACCATTCATTTGACAAAGATTTGACTGTTGCTGAGGACTTTATCACTAGTAAACTGAACGGTCCAATTTCAAGCTAATTATTCTTTTATTTTCATTTTGAAGATAAAATATCCAGAATTCTTTTTTTTTTTTTTTTGATCTTCTGACTGCACCACGTGGCATATGGCATCATAGTTTCCCAACCAGCGATCAGAAACTTTGCACTGAAAGCCCAAAGTCTTAAAGACTATTCCACCAGGGAAGTCTTCAGAATTCTTTTGTGACTCAGGAAATGTGCTAAAATGATTTCCTTCTTTACATATCTCTTTCATGTAATTTACTTTTTCTTTCTTTCTTTTTTTTTTTTTTACCAAAAATTTGCTTTCATTTTGCTGTGATTTATGTAAATGTTGTCTTTGATCAAAAGCAATACTCACTCCGAGGCATAAGAGCAGTCACAATTTTAGCATAGATGTAAAAGACAAATGGACAAAGAAAAGGACAAAACAGAATGCCAGCATAGTCTACTTTTAACTACACAGCAGAGATCAACTTTGGGTAGCTTTCTCAAAAAGGTTCTTACCACTGTCCCCCATCCTACCATCTGCTACACTGTATTTGAAGATACTTAATTTCTTTGTATACTTACCCAAATTATCACTAAATATAGTTCATAAATGATTGAAATTTATATAATTCTACCCCTATCTCTAGAATATAATCTCCATGAGGAAAAAGGGTCATGTCTGAGTTGTTCAAATTAATATTCCCTGAACTGTGGTGCATACAGTAAATTCTCAAAGGATATTTGTAGAAAAGATTCATAAATAACAAATGATTTTTTTGGTTGCTGATTTATTTATTTTTAAATTTTCATTTATTTATATTTTTTGGCTACATCATGAGCGGCATGTGGGAACCTTCTTTTTTTAAAATTTATTTATTTATTTTAATTTGAAGCTAATTACTTTACAATATTGTAGTGTTTTTTTGCCATACATTCACATGAATCAGTCATAGGTGTACATGTGTCCCCCATCCTGGAAACCCCTCCCACCTCCCTCCCCATCCCATCCCTCAGGGTACCAGCCCTAAGGGCCTTTTCTCATGCATCTAAACTGGACTGGCAATCTATTTCACGTACGGTAATGTACATGAATAACAAATAATTTTTGAAAAATAAATAACACTGAACAAAAAATTGAACCTCCAACATCATCTAGTCATGTTTTGTTTTTTCTCTTAGAATCTGGCTGCTATTTTTGCCAAGAAAAGTGGATTGGCTACCAATGCAACTGTTATTTCATTTCTAATGAATTAAAAAAATGGAAAGACAGTAGGGATTTTTGTGTTTCTCATAATTCCAGTCTACTTCAGATACAAACCAGAAATGAACTGGCAAGTATTTAATTCTGATTTTCTACATTTTCTTTGACTTAAGAAAATATATTATCTATGTAAGTTGAATACTTTGATTCAAGTCTTTAATCAGATAATAAGTAGATGATTATATTTGAACTAATATCCTATACTTTAAAACCGTCACAAAATCAACCCAAAATTTCTCAAAGACTTACATTATAGGAGTGTTGACAGATAAAATACAGATAAAGTTTTAGAAATAATTCAAAGTAGAAATAAAAATAACCTAATTAAAATTCTAATTAAATTAAATTAAATTTCTAATTTATTTTGTAATTATATGGCTTTTGTTATCACTCTTGGGTGTAATGTGAAAGTATATGTAGAATATTATAAAACAATTAGCTCTTTGGTAAAAGTTCTCTAGCTCCCTGTAGAACTTGTGCTAAGACTTATCCCTCAATGTGCTGTTGATTTGGGATCAGATTTGACTGATGGTCCCCTATGAAGGAAGTGCTCCATGAAAACTCATGAAAACCCATTATGACATTTTTCATTCCTTCAAGAAGTGAGACTTTGTGGTATTTTTTCCTCAGAAATGGATTTGATGAATGAGAACCAAGAGGCAAGTGACTGACTACACCTCCTAAATTAGAAGTTAAAAATGATTTTAGTTTGTATTAGCTTGGTGCAAAAGTAATTGTGGTTTTGCCTTGTTGAAAATTGCTGTTGGATATTGGAAAACATTCTTAAATAAATGTGATTATGTTATATACCATTTAATATGCATTTCTCACTTTATTTATTTTTTTTGCTAGTGACATCACTTGCTGTTTATATTTATTTTAGGCTATAGAAACTATGTTAAACAAAAAGCAAATTTAAGCAATTTTTAAATTCAAGTTCAAAATGGGTTATAAAGCAGTGGAGACAACTTGCAACATCAACAATGCATTTGGCCCAGGAACTGCTAACAAAAGTACAGTGTAGCGGTGGTTCAAGAAGCTTTGCAAAGGAGACAAGCGCCTTGAAGATGAACAATGCAGTAGCCGACCATCAGAAGTTGACAATGACCAATTGAGAGGATCATCAAAGCTGATCCTCTTACAACTACACAAGAAGTTGCCCAAGAACTCAGCATTAACCATTCTGTGATCATCTGGCATTTGAAGCAAATTAGAAATGTGTAAAAGCTCTAAAAGTGGGTGCCTCATGAACTGACAGCAAATAAAAAAATCATTATTTTGAAGTGCTGTCTTCTCTTATTCTATTCAACAGCAGACCATTTCTCAAGTGGATTGTGATATGTGATGAAAAGTGTATTTTATACAACTGGCGTTGGCCAGCTCAGTGGTTGGACCAAGAAGAAGCTCCAAAGCATTTCCCAAAGCCAAACTTGGACCAACAAAAGGTCATGGTCACTGTTTGGTGGTTTGCTGCCCGTCTGATCCACTACAGCTTTCCGAATCCATTACAATCTGAGTGAAACCATTACATCTGAGAAGTCTGCTCAGCAAATCGATAAGATGCACCAAAACTGCAATGCCTGCAACTGGCATAGTCCAACAGATAGGACCCAATTCTTCTCCATGAAAATGCCTGACTGCAGGTTGGAAAACAAACACTTCAAAAGTTGAACAAATCGGGCTACAAAGTTTTACCTCATCTGCCATAGTCACCTGATTTCTTGCCAATTGACTATCACTTCTTCAAGCATCTCCATGAGTTTTTGCAGGGAAAATGCTTCCACAACCAATAGGAGGCAGAGAATGCTTTCCAAGAGTTCATCAAATCCCAAAGTCTGGATTTTTATGCTACAGGAATAAACAAACATATTTATCGATGGCAAAAATGTGTTGATTGTCATGGTTCCTATTTTGATTAACAAAGATGTGTTTGAGCTTAGTTATAAAGATTTAACATTTATAGTCTGAAACCACAATTACTTTTTTGTACCAACCTGATAGAATTGAAAAACTGAATCTGATACTGGACACTGACCTTCTTAAAAGTACATGTTTCCCAGAGCAGGTTTGAAATAGGTTAATGTGTTGGTCTCTGTTTCCAAGCAGGATTTTATGAAGTTCAGTTCCAGTTCTTACTGGATTGGACTTTCTTACAGTGAAGAACATCATGCCTGGTTGTGGGAGGACAATTCTACTCTCTCCCAAGATCTGTAAGTTTCTGGCATCAAAACTTTTTTTGTTCTTTTTGAATTTATCCTTGGATTTGACCATTGTTTTTCCCATATACTAATCATTTCTTCTTCATTACAGAGTTCCTTTATTTCACACTGTAAATCCAAAGAACTGCATAATATACAGCCCAAGAAGAGGTGCTCTGGATGAAGACTGTGAAAGTACATATAGTTACATCTGTAAGCAACAGTTTATTTAGGTGTTTCTTGGGACAAAAGTATTATGCAATGAAGATTTAGACTTACTTAGAATGGCAACATATTATTACTATCTACTTTTGGGATCTGTAAAGTGTTTCAAATTGTGTCTTAACAATCAAATAATTTTCATATATTTGAAAACACATGCTTACTTTTTTTATCAATACATGATTGATATATAAATTATATTGGTTTTAGGTATACAACATAGCAATAACTAGACAGTAAGTCTAATTAACATTTATCATAGTTATAGTTACAATTTCTAAATTTTGCAATGTGTTTTAAAATTGATGAAACTTGTGTACCTACACTAAAATTATAGAATCAAGATAAATAATTTTATGAATATTTAATGTCTATGGTCAATAATGAATTTTGTAACTTATACAACTATTCTTAGAAATTCTCTGTGATGAAATTTAAATAAAACCTAATTCCTACCAAATAATATACATCAAAATCATATCAGTCTTTTGTATGGCCTACTAGGTTGAAAATTCCCATCCTGATCTTTTTTTTTGGAAGCAAAAATAGCTTTAATGCTCTTTTTAAATTCTTTCTGGATATTTATGCATCTATATCTTCTAATTTAGACCTGCAGTTGCCATATAATAGTTTCTTCATGTGCTTCACAGGGTTCAGAGGGTTTCACATTTGTGTGTCTTCTCTGATGTTACAAAATTCCGCATAAGAATTGCAAGTCTCTGCCCAAGTATGTAGTCTCACAGGTTACTTTCATATTTTGGAAAAGGAAAGGTAATCTAAGCCCTGATCACATAAATATGCGGTCTCATTTTATTTTGCTCCATAGATCTTTCTTGCCTTATGCTTATCTATCAGTAAAAAAAAAAAAAAAAAAAAAAAAAAAAATCATTCTTACATGTGCTTTGAAGATTTTAATCTCTCATCAATCCCAAACATCTTTTCCTAAAAGTTATGTAATAAATACTGAACAATTACACTTTTGAGGGCTAGAGGGAGCAGTTCGTTTTATTGAGTGGTTTTCGAATAGGTCAAAGAAGGATTGCGAACATGGTGAGTTCTGATGCCTATGACCTGAACGGGATTTTCCCAACCTCAGAGATATCAAAACCCAAGTCTCCCCCTTTTTTATAACTGTTGCATACAATTGACCCAGTTTCAAACCCTGGGTTGGGAAGACCCCTTGGGTTGGGAATGGCTACATGCTCCAGTACTCTAGCCTGGAGAGAGGAGTCTGGTGGACTACAGTCATGGCGGCGGAGGGGGGGGGTCACAAAGAGTCAGACAGGACTGAGCAACTAACACTTTCACTTTTATACATCTTAAGAAATTTGTTTTGACCTCTCTATTTGCTTTGTGATTTTATACTTTAATTATTTTATACTTTAATTAAGAACCCAAAGTTGATTTTAAAAATACTGAGTCAAGATGAGGAAGGAGCCTCTTATGTTTTATTTCTCAAAGTATAATAGTACTACAAGTTGAACTCTTCACATTTTGTATGAAGGTTGACTTAGGAAAAATGCACTTGTTATATTATAAAAAATACAAGATAAACTATAGCATCTTTCAAATGCTTCACATGGACTAAGCAAACATGCATTGCACTTTACAGAAACTTGAAATGTTTTGCCTTTGCTGCCTATGTGATTTTCATAACAATAACATAGTTTTAATTGAATATAAAAGGAACATTATAAACAAAGTTACACACACACACCATCTTTTTTTTTTTATCACTTCCAGAATGTAAGGAAAAGGAAATTAAAAAAAATCAAAACTGTTGTATTTGTAACAAACATCTTATTTAACCGTTTTCTTAGAAAAAAATTCAAATCTCATCTGACTAAATATGGAACCTCTTTTATTAATAAATTTTGCTCATTTCTTTATCTCTAGAAGACTAAATGTATACATGTCTATTTTATCTCTTTTAATAAATATTCATTCAATTGTGTCAAACTCTTTGTGACCCCACAACTGTAGCCCCCCAACCAGGCTGCTCTCTGTCCATGGGGTTTCCTAGGCAAGAATACTGGGGTGGTAGCCATGTCTTTTTCAGGGAATCTTCCTGACCCAGGGATCAAACCTGGGTCACTTGCATTGCTGGCAGATTCTTTACCATCTGAGCCATCAGGGAAGCTTCAATAAATACCACACAAAAACATTTGAAACCACTTATATTGTTGTTAAAATGTATGTGTTTCTACTCAAAATATGAATATTAAGAAAATTATTTTTAAATTTCCTAATTTTATTGTGTTTTGTTAAACTTAATTTGAGTCTCCTGCTTTGAAGACTTGGTTCATGTAATTGCCTCCCAGTTTTTCTCTAAATAAAAATAATTTATGTTCTGGTCTCTTAAAATTCAACACTTTTTGTTTTTCTTGGGTGTTTTTGTTCATCCTTCTCAATAAAGGAGCCATTCACATCTCTTTTTTCCCCTAATCATTCCATAAACTCTTTCCCATAGTATCAAATATCATATACTGTGAAACTCACTTTTATGATGTTACACATATATCTTTGGAAACCTGCATTGATATTCCTCAGTTCAGTTCAGTCAGTGTCTGACTACTTGCAACCTCATGAACTGCAGCAAGCCAGGCCTCCCTGTATATCATCAACTCCCAGAGTCCACCAAAACTCATGTCCATTGAGTTGGTGATGGATTCCAATCATCTCATCTTTTGTCATCCCCTTCTCCTCCTGCCCTCAATCTTTCCCAGCATCAGGGTCTTTTCAAATGAGTCAGCTCTTCGCATCAGGTGGCCAAAATATTGGAGTTTCAGCTTCAAAATCAGTCCTTCCAATGAACACCCAGGACTGATCTCCTTTAGGATGGACTGGTTGGATATCCTTGAAGTCCAAGGGACTGTCAAGGGTCTTCTCCAACACCACAGTTCAAAAGCATCAATTCTTCAGCTCTCAGCTTTCTTTATAGTCCAACTCTCACATCCATACATGACCACTGGAAAAACCATAGCCTTGACCAGACAGACCTTTGTTGGCAAAGTAATGTTTCTGCTTTTTAATATGCTATCTAGGTTAGTCATAACTTTCATTCCAAGGAGCAAGAGTCTTTTACTTTCATGGCTGCAGTCACCATCTGCAGTGATTTTGGAGCCCCCAAAAATAAAGTCAGCCACTGTTTCCATTGTTTCCCCATCTGTTTGCCATGAGGTGATGGGACCAGATGCCATGATCTTAGTTTTCTGAATGTTGAGCTTTAGGCCAACTTTTTCACTCTCTTTCACTTCCATCAAGAGGCTCTTTAGTTCTTCTTCACTTTCTGCCATAAGTGTGGTGTCCTCTGCATATCTGAGGTTATTGATATTTCTCTAAGCAATCTTGATTCCAGCTTGTGCTTCCTCCAGCCCAGAATTTTCTCATGATATACTCTCTATATAAGTTAAATAAGTAGGGTGACAATATACAACCTTGATGTATTCCTTTTCCTATTTGGAACCAGTCTGTTGTTCCATGTCCAGTTCTAACTGTTGCTTCCTGACCTGCATACAGGTTTCTCAAGAGGCAGGTCAGGTGGTCTGGTATTCCCATCTCTTTCAGAATTTTCCACAGTTTATGGTGATCCACACAGTCAAAGGCTTTGGCATAGTCAATAAAGCAGAAATAGATGTTTTTCTGGAACTCTGTTGCGTTTTCAATGATTCAATGGATGTTGGCAATTTGATCTCTGGTTCCTCTGCCTTTTCTAAATCCAGCTTGAACATCTGGAAGTTCATAGTTCATGTATTGCTGAAGCCTGGCTTGGAGAATTTTGAGCATTACTTTACTAGTGTAATGAGTGAGATGAGTGCAATTGTGCAGTAGTTTGAACATTCTTTGGCACTGCCTTTCTTTGGGATTGGAATGAAAACTGACCTTTTCCAGTCTTGTGGCTACTGCTGAGTTTCTCAAATTTGCTGACATATTGGGTGCAGAACATTCACAGCATCGTCTTTTAGGATTTGAAATAGCTCAACTGGAATTCCATCACCTCCACTAGCTTTGTTCGTAGTGATGCTTCCCAAGGCCCACTTGACTTCACATTCCAGGATGTCTGGCTCTAGGTGAGTGATCACACCATCCTGATTATCTGGGTCATGAAGATCTTTTTTGTACAGTTCTTCTGTGTATTCTTGCCACCTCTTCTTAATATATTCTGCTTCTGTTAGGTCCATACCATTTCTGTCCTTTATTGAGCCCATCTTTTTTTTTTTTTCATTTATTTTTATTAGTTGGAGGGTAATTACTTCACAATATTGTAGTGGTTTTTGCCATACATTGATATGAATCAGCCATGGATTTACATGTGTTCCCCATCCTGAACCCTCCTCCCACCTCCCTCCCCATCCCATCCCTCTGGGTCTTCCCAGTGCACCAGCCCCGAGCACTTGTCTCATGCATCCAACCTGGACTGGCGATCTGTTTCACACTTGATAATATACATGTTTCGATGCTGTTCTCTCAGATCATCCCACACTCGCCTTCTCCCATAGAGTCCAAAAGTCTGTTTTATACATCTATGTCTCTTTTTCTTTCTTGCATATAGCCCATCTTTGCATGAAATATTCCCTTGCTATCTCTCATTTTCTTGAAGAAATCTCTAGTATTTCCCATTCTATTGATATTCTTAGGTTATATCTAATTGTATATTTTAAGCATTAATAACACAATTGAGAGTATATGATTTAATTTTACCATTTCACCATACAGCATGCCAATGTAAAGAAACCTTTCCATTTATTTCTCGTTAGACAATGTGACTATCACACCACAGCCATTTTTACTCTTGAATAAAGTGAGAATTTGAAGAAATAAACTTAAGTCATTGACAACGCACTCCAGTATTCTTGCCTGCAGAATCCCCGTGGAAGGAAGAGCCTGGCTGACTACAGTCCATGGGGTCACAGAGAGTCAGACATGACTGAGCAACTAAGCATCCATGTAGATATATATTAATAAGTGCCATCTTTCAAAACATTTGAAACCTAAAGTTATGACTCATTTCTTGGAGACTTAAATCTTTTGTTTTTGTGTATTATTTTGCAGAAGCAAAGCATGGACATGTTTTAAATTCCATAGTACAGAAGAGCTTATTAGGAAAGTCAGTAATTCTTCTCCCTGTTTGTCATTACTCTGGTCCTGCCCCAAGGGCAAACTAATTATTATTCTGTTTTTTTCTACTTTTATTAGCTTTCTGTATAAAAGTAGGGAGAAGTACTTTTTACATTTCTAGCCCAGGATGAATCTTGGAATCTAGCAAAATCAAGGTTTGAAATATTTTTCTAATTGACTATTAGGAGAGTTCCATTCTGTTTTATTATTGTTGTTTTTATTGAGGGTTATGAGGCTTATTGGGTGTTACAAGAAATAAGGGTGTTAAATAGGATGGATCCTATCTCTTTCAAAGGCAAATTATCTCCAGATAACAATAAGATGAATAGTTAGAATATGGCTTAGGGGAGGAAATGCACAATACCCTCCCATACAGAGAATGAGTCATCTTCAGGAGTTTCCCCATTTTCAACAAGGATTCAAGAAATTGATGAAAAGTGCTGACTCAAGTGGCAAATGAGAAATCACGACCATTGCATCCTCTCTACTCACAGCACACTCTTTCCCACAAGTTGTACTCAGTCTTGCCCCTCTGACCTCTCTTTATCTTTCTCCAATCCCCACTGCATCATTAGCTTGTTCTCCTTTTACTCTGGTCAGGAGAGAGTGGAGTCATGGGATTATTCTCTTATTAAAAGAAAGAGTAACTTTAGACCATGAGGTTGAATGACCGATTGTGACATCACTTTGTTAAAATGCAAGTTGCCCAGAATTGCAAAAGTAAATATACAATTTTTTTTGGTCACTGGAGGCACAGGGGCTGGGAGCCATATTATGTGTTTGACTGTTTCCAACTGCAGCTTTTCTGAACTCCATACCACCTTTTTCCTGGCTCAGAGGCTCAACTAGCACCTGCTAGTGGGAAGGTGGCTCTTCTCTTTCCTACAGTTTGTTAAGTGTCTGGTAGTTCTGGTGCTATTCTGCTTCTGTTGTTAAGTCTGCCTTCAGATCTGACCAAGATAATTCATATTTCATAGAACTGCGCTGAAGGCAAAGTCTCAAGGTGTGAAATTTGAGACAAGAAAAGAAGAAAAGCAGGATAATAATCCATCTCTACCTAGTTTACCCAGAAAGCTCAAAGAACATTGCTATGTCCATACATATTTTAGATTCATATCCATTGTTTGTATGCTAGTATGTGCATACATACAAACACACACATACCATCTCATTTTAATCATCCTCTAGAGTGTAGGGAAAAGGAAATTTTTAAAAAATGAAACTACTGTATTTGTAAGAAACAGCTTATTTAACTGTTTTCATAGCAAGAATTCAAATCTCATCTGATTAAAAACAGAACCTCTTATATTTTAATAAATCATGGACATTTCTCTGCCTCTAGAAGACAGTGAAATGTATTCATCTTTATTTTATCTTCTTGTAATAAAGATTATAGAAATATACTTGAAACCACTTATACTGTTGTTGATAAAAATTTGTGTCTCTACTTAATAAAGGTTAAGAAAAATTATTTTTTAAATGTCCCAATCCTCAATCATTTTGTTAATCTTAATTTGAGCCTCTTGTTTTGAAGACATGGTTCATACAATGATTGCCTCTCAATTTTTCTCAAAATAAAATTAATTTATCTTCTGGTCACTTTAATTCAGCACTTTTCCCATTTCTTTGGTGTTTTCATGTTTACCCTTCTTCAGTAAAGGAGTCCTTCACTTCTCTTTTTCTTCCCTGATCAATCCAGTAAAAACTTTCCCAAAGTATCATGTCATACACTGTAAAACTCACTTTTATAATATTGTTACATACATATCTTTAGAAACCTGGATCACTATTCTTATTTTGCTCTAAGTGTATATTTCAAGCACTGATAACACAATTGGTGAGTATGTGATTTGACTTCACCATTTCACCATACAATGTGCCAGTGAAAAGATTTTATTAGTTCAGAATCCTTCTTTTCTTTTCCCAGGGAATTCTTCCTCTCCCTTAGAAAGAAAATAATTTGCAACTTGATGCTAGCAATTTTCTTTCCACTCAGAGAATGCACCCATTTTCCAAGTGGTGAGATCAAAACAAATTTCTCATTTGGGACCCTTGAAATATATACCATTTTATATATTGATATATAAAAGTATATACCTTGAAATATATACTATATTCTGGAAGATTGACAGGCAAGGAAGAGACTTCATAATTAAGTGGACATTCATTAATTTTCTCCAACTCTCGGTTCAGGTTTGAATGGTCTCTTAGTTACTGGAGTCAACATGGGCACTTGTCAAGGGCATGAGTAAACTACAGGGGAGAAAAGTCGTTCCTACGGTGAACACTTGGGGAGAGGAGATTCTGCTGAGAGTCCTGCATTTTCTCGAAGGAGAAACAAACACGTAAATGAAGCTGACATCTCAGTGGAGCTTCAGTCTGGGTTCTCTCTGCATCAGACCCCTCCCGATAAAGTTTGAGTGAAAAGCATATTTGGAACATGTGTGGATAAAGGAGGGAGTGTTAATACAGGAAAGAGAATGTAGAACACAATAAAAGTCATTCTCTTAATCCAGATACTAGAGGAGGAGACTGGAGGCTAATGCTATTGAGTGAGCCTGGTGAATGGGGAAAAAGATAATGCTCAAAACTGCCTCATATTCAGGTCACGGTTGCTGGATTAGAGCAAATACTGAGACTCGTTGGTTAGGGCCATCCCGGTGAGAATTCCTCAGTACTTCTGGACTGTCAGGTGAGAGCAGCTGAATTTTCAGCAGTTCTAGGAGGGAAAATTTGCACTTGCTGATTTGCCATAGTTTACAAATATTCCGAGGTGATATGGGAGGGGAGAAGTGACGACATTTGCTTGAAGTGGAGATGCACGGTAGGGAAACTGGTACAAAAACAGTTCAACTGCCCTTGTGCAAAAGGGGATCAATCAACCAGTGCTGACAGCCTAGAGAGAATTATAGGATTTTATACGTATATAAAATCTACACATATATGCATATAAAGTCCTCTTTAATCACCTGACTTCCCTGGTGGCTCAGCAGTAAAGAATCCCTCTACAGTGTAGCAGATGCTGGAGACATGAGTTCAGTCCCTGGGTCAGGAAGATACCCTGGGGGAGGAAGTGGCAACCCACTTCAGGATTCTTGCCTAGAGAATTTCAGGGCAGAGAAGTCTGGCGGGTTACACAGTCCATGGAATCGCAAAGGGTTAGATACGAATGAGCAACTGAGCCCACATACGTATGTAAAACATACACATACATGTATACACATGTACATATGTCTACTTATTGGTATCTACCTTCCACTCTATCCATCTGTCTATCTATCTATATCTTTTGTGTGTATATTCATGAGTGCATTCAGTTATCTTATTTGTGACTTGACATTTACATTGTTGGACTGAACCAATCTTTGATGGATTTTTATCACCGAGTTAGAGAACTAAATGAGGGAGAGAGAAAGAGCAAGAGAAGAAGAAGGAGAAGAAGGGAGAAGTCCCTCTGATTCTACTACTTTTATTTTGCCTTCCCCACTTGGGTTAATAAGGCAAGAATGAGAAGCACCGCGTGAAAGCTGGAAAGTTCCAACCACTCTGTATTAAAGAAAATAAATGAAAATTAACAAAACATATAGACAGAGAGAGAGAGAGAGGCTTAATTTGAAATGTATCTCATGTGTGTTCTAGAGATAGACTACCAGGGTTTCAAACATGTGACCTAGCTTTACTATACCTTACTTTTCTCATTGGTAAAATAAGCATATTTATTTATATTTATTGTGAAGCCACATTCAGGGAAAAATAAGCTAATATATGCCATATGCTTCATGTTTGACATGAGGTAAATAATAAACATTTTTCACTATTAAAAACGGAAACTTCTGTGCAAAACATTTTTTGTACTAAGTACATTTTCCTTTGGTTTGCCCATATATTCCATTTTCCAAGTAATTTTTTAGATGACTTTGATGTTTGAACATTAAAAAAAAAAACTTTCCTCTCACCTTATTTTGTGATAGTCAAATGGTCTGCATTGTGAGGTTCAGTGAGAATTTCCTGTATTGCGGTTCTAGAAGCATTTTAGAAGATAGTGATTTTACTGTTTCTTGTTCATACTGCACATCCTTGTCTCATCAGCAGAAGATACAAGCACATTTTGATTCACAGTTTTCCTTTTTTAAAATTTCTTCACAACTTTTGGGTTTTTGGTAGCCTTCAGCTTAGCTCCACAGACTAACCTCGCTATCCTTGAACAAGCATCCACAGTGCCTTATCTGCGTCGACATTAGACAACATCTCGCATGGCAGGTATGTGCAGCCCAAGTCATAAAGTGAAAAAATAAAAATAACCAAAAATGTATCTCATGGGTATGGCTAATTTTGGGCGATATGTTAAGAAAAAATGTGTACAGTTTTAGGTTTCTCATATATCAGCACTTTTTAATTTCATTTTTCTGATTCTTCATTCTGTCACTTAGGGATGATTTTGTGAAGTTTTCTCAACAGATTTAAAGAGTGGATTTTGACCAGGATAGCTCTAAATTCTGATTGAGATATAAATTTACCAGGAAAATTATCCTAGGTTTTCTAACCTACCTAATGGGAGTCATGTGCTCCACCTTGGGATGCTTATGTTGTTGTTACCAAAATAAGTTTGTTATCAATATATCAAGGTTTTCCTGGTGGCTCAAACAGTAAAGAGTCTGCCTACAATGAGGGAGACCCATGTTCAATCCCTGGGTTGGGAAGATCCCCTGGAGAAGGGAATGGCACCCACTCCAGTATTCTTACCTGGGTAATTCCATGGACTGAGGAAACTAGTGAGCCACAGTCCATGGGGTCACAAAGAGTTGAGTCCATAAAATGGAACTTATTGCCTGTTTATCTCTTTTCACTACAGATCTTTCATCTTCTTTTCAAATTAAAAAATAATGGTAAATACATTGTACTGAGACAGAACTGATAAAGAAGAGAAGGTACTGATAATCTCAATGAAGAACAAAGTACATCATGTTGAAATGTTGGTATTGGGTAGAGTTCTCAATGCACTCTCTCCATTTTCAAACATTTTACTGGCAAAATGATTGTGTTATCAAACCAAAGAACTTTTGGGATTCTCTCACTGGTTTCTGCCTTTAAGAACTCCTGTATTTCATCTTTAAATCATTATCCTATCTTTCTTTATAGTTTTTCAGACCACTGCATGGAGGTTGATCTCTGGGGTCTTAGGAATAATATGCCTTTTGTTGATGGCTGCTTTGGGAGTTCTGTTAAACAATTGTAAGTTTTTCTAGTCAAGTCTATATAAAAAGATTAAGATTGTGATGAAACTATCTTATCATAAAATTTTGATTTTTCTAATATGGAGTGTTTTGTTATTTCATAAAACAGTGTCTGATAAAGTAAATTTCTAATCATTTCTTACAGCACTTACTAAACAAAGTGTTCAGCCTGAACCCTCCACAGATCTTCAGGAAGGTAGGGTTCCTACTTTCGAAATCTTTCTTGTTGATAGAGAATAAAATAAGCAGTTTCATGTTTTTCTCACACAGAAGCTTGATGGAATATTATAGTCATAAAAACTTTCCTGCTAGTTGTAGGATAGTCTTCTTTCATTGTTCACATAAGAATTGATTAGATTTTGTCAAATACATATTATTTGTATATTTAAAAGATAAAGAAAATATTACCCTGAAAAAAAATTTTCCAATGTAAGTGTTCATGTTTAAGTATCAAATAAAAAATACATTATATTTTTATATTTATATTATATATACATTATATTTACATTAAAGTAAATATTATAGCCAATCCTAATTACCTGATTGTGTTTGTTTACAACCCATACATTTATATCTCTTTACGTTTACCTCTGCTTTTTCTATTACTCGGAAAGCAGCATGGAGATTTTTGCAGTTCTAAACCCTACTTAACCTGTGAAAGTCAGCTCAAACATCTAGCTGTTGTTTTTTTTTTTTCCTCAAACACTCTCCAAGTTGTTTTACTATCTTCTTTGTTCATATAGCGCTTCATTCATATCTTTTTTTTTTCTGAGCGTTTTCCTGGCTTTATTAAGATACAATTGACAAATTATATTGTGTAAGTTTAATGTTTGCAGTGTGTTGATTTGATATACTTATAATATTATTACCACTGTAGCACTAACTAGTACCTCCATCATTTTGTTTCTGTTTGTGGTAAAAACAAACAGTAGTTTAAGAACTACTCCTTATGAGTATTTATACTACAATACTGTTAGCTCTAGTTATAATGGTGCACAGTAGATTCGAGAATGAATTCATCTTCTAACTGAAAGCTTATATTTAAAAAAAAAGAAAATTGTTTTTGGCCTTGTCTCACAGCTTTTTGGATTTTCGTTACTCTAACACAAATTGGACCCAGGTACTCAGCAGTGAGAGCATTGAGTTTTAACCACTGGACCACCAGGAATTTCCCATGTACCTTTTGACCAACATCTCCCTACTTTCCCCACATCTCAGCCCTTGTTAACCACCATTCTACTCTACACCCTCAAAATTATTTATTTGACAAAGATTTGAATGCCTGCCATGTCATAGAACTTTTATCACTGAGGATGGTTAATACTGAAGATATGATCACTAATATATTGGGTGGTCAGACTTCTAGATAATCATTTTATTTATCATTATTTTGAAAATAAAATATGCAGAATTTTTCTCTCAGAAAATATGTTATAATTCTTTCTTCCTTTTAATACTTCTTTCATCTAGTTAACTTTTAATTACATAGAAGAAATAAGCTTTGGACCACTGCCTTAAAAAGGGTTCTTCTAATCACCTCACATCCTACAATCTGCTATACTGTATTTGAACGCAGTGAATTTCTTGTGTATACTTACCCAGATTAGCATTAAAAATAGTTCATAAAAAAATAAAAATAAAAATAGTTCATAAAGACTAAAATGCATGCCATTCTCTATCTCTAGAATATAATCTCCATGAAGAAAAATAGTCAGGTCTGGGTTGTTCAGACAAATATCTGCTGATGTGTAGTGTATGCAGTAAATGCTCAAAGAATATTTGTAGACACAGTTAATAAATAACAAATGCTTTTTGAATGAGAAAGTAGCACTGAAAAGAAACTGGATCTCCAACGTCATCAAGTCATGTTTTATTTTTTCTCTTAGAATCTGGCTGCTATTCTTGCCAAGAAAAGTGGATTGGCTACCAATGCAACTGTTATTTTGTTTCTGATGAATTAAAAACATGGAAAGACAGTAGGGATTTTTGTGTTTCTCATAATTCCAGTCTACTTCAGATACAAACCAGAAATGAACTGGTAAGTATTTAATTCTTATTTTCTACATTTTATTTGACCCAGAAAAATATATTATCTATACTTTGATTCAAGTCTTTAATCAGATAGCAAATGGATGATTATATTTGAACTAATTTCCTATACTTTGAAACCATCATAAAATCTAGCCAAACTTTCTCTCAGGTTTACATTATAGGAGTGCTGACAGATAAAGTATAAGAAACTCTTTAGAGAGTATTCAAAGAAGAAATAATAGGTCATTATTTTTATTCCAACAACTTTTAACTTTTAGTTCTTTAAGTGAATTTATAACTGATTTTGTAATTATGCAACATTTGCTATCATTTGGCTATAATGTGAAATGAATATGTAGAATATTATAAAATAATAACCCAACTCTTAATAAAAAGTTAGCTTCCTGGAGAAACTGCGGTAAAGATTTATCCCTCCAGATGCAGTTGATTTGGGATCAGATTTGATTATTGATCCCATTTGAAGGAAGTGTTCCATGAAAACTCACACCCTTTATGACATCTTTCATTCCTTCAAGAAGTGAGATTTTTGTAGGGTTTTTTTTGGCCTCCATAAATGAATGGGTTTGGTGAATGAGAAATAGTAGGCATGTGACTGACTCTTTTTCCCAAATTAGAAGTTAAAAATGATTTTAGTGTGTATAGTTCAAAAACTGATGCTGGACACTGGCCCCCCTAAATGTACATGACTCCTAGAGTAGATTCTAAATAGATTAATATGTTGGTCTCTGTTTCCATGCAGGATTTTATGAAGTTCAGTACCAGTTTTTACTGGATTGGGCTTTCTTACCGTGAAGAACATGATGCCTGGTTGTGGGAGAACAAATCTACTCTCTCCCAAGATCTGTAAGTTTGTGGTATCAAAACCCTTTTTTCTGTTCTTTTTGAGTTTATCCTTGGATCTGATCAGAAAATTGAATATCCAGGACCATTATAAATAAGATATCCTATTTGGGGCATGAAACTATAAAAAAGAGAATAGATACAACATAATAAAATTTTTAACTGCATCCAAAACATCCAAGTGTTTGCTCAAGAGCTTTCAACATATGATTTTGTTTCCTGCGTTGGTACAAGCGCTTGGATATGTATGCATATGTACAGATTCTCACATGTATGAAAGCAGTCCAGAGAAAACAGTGTCCATTATTTTTCTTATTCTGGTGGAGACCGATATTCTCAGCATTGGCCAATGTTTCAAACATTCTGGGTTTATTTCCAGTATATTTGTAAGCTTCAAATCTCATTTTCATTCTTAAATATGAGATTTAACAGCATCATACATTGAGAAATTTTATAATCTGATTTTTTCCTGGACTAGAATTAGTTAATACATTTTTAAACAACATAGAAGCAAAGAATAACACATATCAAAATCATTAAAAACAACAACAAAACCAAAAAATCTCCAACCTCAGTGCTATTGATTATTGAGCATACTGTGTTTTGGTAACATTGTACTCTGAAATTGTGAAAAATGACTTGAATGAAGAAGATAATGACTCAAGATGTATGTAATATCTCATTCAAATGCTTTTAAATGTTCCCTAATTCTATCATTTAGTAAGAACCGCATCTTTGAATGTTTTCATTTCCTGTTCTTGTATATTAAAATTTTCTTCTTCATTGCAGATTTCCTTTCCCTGAATCTGTAAATCCAAAGAACTGCATGATCTATAGACCAGGAGGAAGGATTTTGGATGGACACTGTGGAAAGAAGTTTCGTTATATCTGTAAACAACAGCTTATTTAGATGTTTCTTGGGGGCAGATGTGCTGTGCAATGGAGATTAAGTATTACTTAGAATGGTTACAAATTGTATTACTTACCTCTGGGAGCTTTAAAATGTTCCAAATTGTGTTTTATCAATCATATAATTTTCATGTATTTGAAAATATATATTTAAATTTTTTAATCTCTATGCAATTGGTATATAACATTATGTTAGTTCTAGGTATACAACATAACAATAACTAAGACAGTATGCCTAATTCATCAACATATATAGTTACAATTTTAAAATTTTGCTATGTGTTTTAAAATTGATGAAACTTGTATACCTACACCTGAAATTATAGTCAAGATAAATAATTTAATGAATGTTCAATGTATATGGTATGGATTCAACAATTTATGCATCTATTTTTGGAACTTCTCTCAGCTGAAATTTAAATAAAACTTAATTCAGGCCAAACAATACATATTAACATCATATTAGTTCTTTGAATGGTGTGCTAAATTGAAAAGTCCCATCCTCATCTTTTTTCCTCTGAAAGTAAAAATAATTTCAGTGTTGGTTTTAAGTTTTTGGTGGATATCTATTCATCTATATATTCTTATTTAGACCTGAAAGTGGCATATAATAATTTCTTCATATGTGTCATAAGGGTTAAGTAACACATTTATGTGTCTTCTCCTGATGTTACCAAGTACTGCAGAGCAATTGGAAAGTTATACCCAAGTATGTGATCTTACAAGATTGCCTTCACATTTTCCCAGGGGAAGGGGAACCCAAGCTCTGATCACATTAATATAGTTTTTTGTTGTTGTTTTTTCAAGTATCTTTCTTGCCTTATGCCTATCTGACAGTTAAAAAAAAGCCACTCTTACATGTGCATTTAAGATTTCAATTTCTAATCAATCCACCAAATCTTTTCGTAAATGGCATGTGATAAAATATTGGACATTTAGTATTTAGGAGGACAGGGAGCAGGCTTTTTTAATGAGGGTTTCTGAGTGGGTCAGTGAAGGGAAGGGCACATGATGAGTTGTGATGTTTGTGACATGAATAGATTTTTTCCAACCTCAGAAATATCAAAACCCAATTCCCTCTTTTAAAAAATAACTGTTGAATATATATCTAAAGAAATTTTTACTGACATCTCTATTTGTTCTCTTCTTTTGTATTTCAATTAAATGATTATAATTAAGAGCTCAAGGTTGATTTTCAAAATACAAAGAGTCAGGAAGAGATAAGAACCTCTCATGTTTTACTTCTCAAAATTCAAATATAATAGTAATACAACTTGAACTCTTCATTCTTTTTTTTTTTTTGAACTCTTCATTCTTATATGAAGATTGACTTAGGAAAAATGCACTTAGATTATTCTATGAAAAACACAGGATAGCTGTAACATCTTTCACATATTTAACTTGGACATGCATTGCACTTTCTACATATTTAAAATGTTTTGCCTTTGCTGTCTATATCATTTTTGTAACACTGTAATTTTAAAATTGCATTTATAAAGAGCAGTATAGACAAGCTTATTAAGAAAACAGTTTTCTGATCCAATTGTCCAATCAATCCGTCCTCTTCCCACACAAAAAAAATTTTCTCTGAGTATTTTGCTTGTTTGTTTTTCCTACGGAGAAAAAACATAGGAAATATATTTCTACATAGGATATGTATAGATGTATGTTTATTTTTTATGCAGGAAATAAGTGAAATTATGAAAATTCTATTTTCATAATTTTTGTCAAGGATGAATATCAACTGTGTTCTTGTAGCCACATTCAAGCATGGGTTGAAATTGCTATTCTAACATCATCACTCTATGAATTTTACATAGTTTAATCTTTTTTTTTTTTACTGAGAATTCATGAATATTTATTACAATATCACAAGAGCAATGAGGAAACAGAAGGTGTTAAATGTTACAGATTATATCTAATTTCAGAGAATAATCTATTTGAAAGTTGTCTTCACTGAGGAAGGAAAATTCCTGTTGCCTTCTAAAGATAGCTCAGAGGTTTTCTTCAGCTCCCATATCATATCCATATCATTAGCTCATATATCCCATATCATTTCAGGTCCCACATCATTTCAGGCTGGGAGCTGACTGAGGTTCAGATAATGAACTGCTTATTGCAAAATTCAGACTTAAATTGAAAAAAGTAGGGAAAACCACTAGGCCATTCAGGCATGACCTAAATCAAATCCCTTATGATTATACAGTGGAAGTGAGAAATAGATTCAAGGGATTAGATCTGATAGACAGAATGCCTGAAGACCTATGGACAGAGGTTTATGATATTGTACAGGAAGCAGTGAGCAAGACCATCCCTGAGAAAAAGAAATGCAAAAAAGCAAAATGGCTGTCTGAGAAGGCCTTACAAAGAGCTGTGGAAAGAAGAAAAGCTAAAGGCAAAGGAGAAAAGGAAAGAATATCCATTTGAATGCAGAGTTTCAAAGAATAGCAAGGAGAGATAAGAAAACCTTCTTCAGTGATCAGTGCAAGATTAGAGATCACTTCAAGAAAATTAGAGATACTAAGGGAACATTTTGTGCAAAGATGGGCTCAATAAAGGACAGAAATGGTATGGACCTAACAGAAGTAGAAGATATTAAGAAGAGGTGGCAAGAATACACAGAAGAATGACACAAAAAAGATCTTCATGACCCAGATAATCATGATGGTGTGATGACTCACCTAGAGCCAGACATCCTGGAATGCAAAATCAAGTGGGTCTTAGGAAGCATCACTACTAACAATGCTAGTGGAGGTGATGGAATTCCAGTTGAGCTATTTCAAATCCTAAAAGATGATGCTGTGAAAGTGCTGCACTCAAAATGCCAGCAAATTTGAAAACTCAGCAGTGGCCACAGAACTGAAAAATGTCAGTTTTCATTCCAATCCCAAAGAAAGGCAATGCCAAAGAGTGTTCAAACTACCACACAATTGCACTCATTTCACATGCTAGCAAAGTAATGCTCAAAATGCTCCAAGCCAAACTTCAACAGTACATGAACCATGAACTTCCAGATGTTCAAACTGGATTTAGAAAGGCAGAGGAACCAGAGATCAAATTGCCAACATCTGTTGGACTATCGAAAAAGCACGCGAGTTTCAGAAAAACATCTACTTCTGCTTTATTGACTATGCCAAAGCCTTTGACTGTGTGGATCACAAAAAACTATGGAAAATTCTTAACAAGATGGGAATACCTGACCACCTGACCTGCCTCCTGAGTAATCTGTATGCAGGTCAAGAAGCAACAGTTAGAACCAGACATGGAACAACAGACTGTTTCCAAATCGGGAAAGGAGTATGTTAGGCTGTATATTGTCACCCTACTTATTTAACTTATATGCAGAGTACATTATGAGAGATGCTGGACTGGATGAAGCACAAGCTGGAAACAAAATTGCTGGGAGAAATATCAATAACCTTAGATATGCAGAAGACACCACACTTATGGCAGAAAGTGAAAAGCTAAAGAGTTGCTTGATGAAAGTGAAAAAGGAGAGTGAAAAAGCTGACTTAAAACTCAGCATTCAGAAAACTAAGATCACGGCATTTGGTCCCATTATTTCATAGCAAATAGATATGGAAACAATGGAAACAGTGAAAGACTTCATTTTGGGGGGCTCCAAAATCACTGCAGATGGAGACTGCAGCCATAAATTAAAAGATGCTTGCTCCTTGAAAGAAAAGCTATGACCAGCCTAGACAGCATATTAAAAAGCAGAGACATTGCTTTGCCAGAAAATGTCCATCTAGCCAAAGCTATGGTTTTTCCAGTAGTCATATATGGATGTGAGAGGTGGAGTATAAAGAAAGCTGAGGGCCAAAGAATTGGTGCTTTTGAACTGTGGTGTGGAAGAAGACTCTTGAGAGTCCCTTGGACTGAAAGGAGCTCTAACCAGTCCATCCTAAAGAAAATCAGTCCTGAATATTCATTGGAAGGACTGATGCTGAAACTGAAACTCCAATACTTTGGCCACCTGATAGGAAGAGCTGACTCATTGGAAAAGACCCTGATGCTGGGAAAGATTGAAGGTGGGAGAAGAAGGGGACAACAGAGGATGAGATGGTTGGATGGCACCACTGACTTGATGGACATGAGTTTGAGCAAACTCCAGGAGTTGGTGATGGAAGGGAGGCCTGGCTGCTGCAACCCATGGGGTCGCAAAGAGTCAGACATGACTGAGCAACTGAACTGAACTGAACTGATAATTTCAGGGCATTATCATGTAAAGTGCTGGCTTACAGGAAGGTTACTAGTCACCCATGGGAAAGTGTCCTTCTTACTATTGGCCTCATAATATTAATTACATTCAATTCAGGACCATCTGACTCATTTCATTTTTATTATTTTTTTCTCCCACTCTTACCTGCATTATGCTTTCTTCATCCTGAAAATCTCTTTGTACTCCTTGGGATGGGAACAATTCCTTTTATAGAAAGGTTTTGCACAAAAATTTTGTTTCTTTCTGATGAAGAGTCACTTATTTTTATTTTGCTTTCTGCTTTTTGCTCTGAAGTGGGCTGATTTACATGGAAGGATCTAGGTGAATGACCATCTCAGTGTTGGATATCAAGCAAAGGTAAGAGGGTAAGGAAGTGTGTAAAAAACACAGACTGTAACAAAACTGTATTTCCATAAGTCAGTTCAGTCTTTCTTCATTTCATCGTGTTACTCTGAATGCGTTACTCATTACCCTGAATGCATGTAATATGGGTTATGTATTGGTGGCTAAGAAGTTATGTTATATTTAGAAACCTAAAACCACACATATTTATTATCTCTCACTATCTATGGATCTGGAACTGGACACAGCTTAACTATAGTCTTTGTTCAGGCCCTCACTAGATTGAAACCAAGGTCTTGGCCAGGTGGTATTCTCACCTAAAACTGAGTCCTCTTCCAAGCTCAATGAAGCTTTTGAAAAAATCTTGTTCTTCGTGTTTGTAAGACTAATACCCATAGCTCACAGAAGGCTCCTCTCTGCATAGTCACACCAGGGTT